GGGGAGAGTGTGTGCATGTGTGTGAGAGAGGCAGGGGAGAGTGTGTGCATGTCCGTGTGAGAGGCGGGGGAAGAGTGTGTGTGCGGGGGAGAGTGTGTGTGCGTGTGAGAGGTGGGGGAGAGTCTGTGTGTGCATGAGAGGCGGGAGAGAGTGTGTGTGTGTGTGTGTGAGAGGCAGGGGAGTGTGTGTGTGTGAGAGAGAGACAGGGGACAGTATGTGTGTGAGAGAGACTGGGGAGAGTGTGTGTGTGTGTGTGTGTGTGTGTGAGAGAGAGAGAGACGGGGGAGAGTGTGTGTGTGTGTGTGTGTGTGAGAAACGGGGGAGAGTGTGTGTGTGTGTGAGAGAGACGGGGGAGTGTGTGTGTGGGTGGGTGGGAGGGGAAGAGAGTGTGTGTGTCGGGGGGGATTGCGTGCGCGCAGGTTGGGGAGAGTGTGTATGTGTGTGCGTGTGTGCATGTGTGCGAGGATGAGAGTGTGTACGTGTGCGACACGAGGCAGAGAGAGTTGTGTGTGTGTGCATGCGCATGCGGGGGAGAGAGTGCGAGAGTGCAAGCGTGCATGCATGAGGGGGGTGAGAGAGAGAGTGTGCATTTGTGTGTGAGAGGGGGTGAGAGAGTGTGAGAGTGTGTGCGCATGCGTGTGAGGGGGAGAGAGTGAGTGACTGTGTGTGCACGCGCACACGCATGCGCAACAGCAAGTGTGTATGTGTGCGCGAGCAAAGAGAGTGTGCGCGCACTGGTCTTCACACACACTCTCACTCTCTTCTCCCTCGCTTGCACATGCCGCGTGCACACACACACGCACACACACTCTCTCTCCCCCTCACACACACGCACACACACTCTCTCTCCCCCTCATGCACACACACACACACGTGCACACACACACACTCTCCCCCTCATGCTCGCATGCACACACACTAGCTCCCCCTCCCGCTCACACACACTCTCTCCCCCTCCCGCTCGCGCACACACAGTCTCTCTCTTTCTCCCTCTCTCACACACGCACACTGTCTCGCGCTCTCTCACCTGAGGCAGAGAGTGTGTGTGTGTGTGTGTGCACGCACGCGTGAGAAATATACCCGATTTACAAACTACTGGGAAACAGAACCAGAAGTAATGCTAATTGCCCCAGCAAACCGAGGTATATAAATAACAAGTACCTCAGAACACCAACGCTTCATCGGAGGCACACTGACGATGTTACCTCAGAGGATGATGAAACGTTTTCCACCAAACACACCGGCTTGGCGAGCAAGTCTACTACCTCATCCTCAACCCGAGCTACAAATCTTCTCAAAAACTTTAGGTTGCCAGGTCATTTGGATGTCCTGCCATCAGCAATTTGCCATGTAAAACCCTGAATAAATTCTGTGAGTAAATGCAGACTTAACAGATAAAAAACACTACTCTTGCTTGCTACTCACAGCAAAAATAGAGCGTAAAACGTAACACAGTAAACCAAAACATTTCCAGAAATCCCAGCATAGCTGCTTGAGGTAAAACTTGAGACTTTTCCAAAAATTTGAAGGGATGTCCTTTTATGGTCACGTCACACACAACTTTGCAAAGTAGGAAAAAGCAAACCTGGTGAAGCTGGGAATGGCAATGGATTCATTCTCATGAAAAATGTTACTCAGCCAAGAGCATAGAATACAGTATCACTGTGATGTGGGGGCTGTCCGTGGTATTAAAACTAAAAGGGGAGGATATGTTTTCTGTAATTCTGCAAATATCAGTGTTAACTAACACCATTCCAAATTACAAAATAATCAAGGGGCAAAAGGAGTATAGGAAATAAACACAATAACTATCACTAGACAAAGGATGCTGGGAAAACTAGTGGTGCTAAAGACTGGTAAGTCCCCTGGACCTGATAGGATGCATCACTGAATATTAAAAGTAGCAGTTACAGATAGTGGATGTATGCCAATAATCTTCCACAAATCCTTAGGTCCTGGAAATGGCCTAGAGAATTGGAAAACACCCTTATTTAGAAAGGGAAGAAGACATAAAAACAAGGTCAGTTAGATTAAGGTGCAGAGCTGGATGAACACAGCAGGCCAAGCAGCATCATAGGAGCAGAAAGGCTGATGTTTCGGGCCTAGACCCTTCATCAGAAATGGGGGAAGGGAAGGGGGTTCTGAAATAAACAGGGAGAGAGGGGGAGGCGGATAGAAGATGGATAGAGGAGAGGATAGGTGGAGAGGAAACAAACAGGTCGAAGAGGCGGGGATGGAGCCAGTAAAGGTGAGTGTAGGTGGGGAGTTAGGGAGGGGATAGGTCAGTCCAGGGAGGACGGACAGGTCAAGGGGGCGGGATGAAGTTAGTAGGTAGGAGATGGGGGTGCGGCTTGGGGTGGGAGGAGGGGATAGGTGGGAGGAAGAACAGGTTAGGGAGGCGGGGACGAGCTGGACTGGTTTTGGGATGCGGTAAGGGGAGGGGAGATTTTGAAGCTTGTGAAATTCACATTATTATGAATTCTGTCATCTATACTAGTTGCCATTTTTATTGAACACTGGGGCTGAGAAAATATGTGTCACCGATTACTATTTATGTTTTTAATAGTGATAACAACATAGTCAATTAATTGAAAAGCATTATTAATTAATCTGAAGCTGAAGGTAATGGAATTGAAGGAAACTTATAAATCATTTTTCTGCAGAATGCCAACTAATGAAAACAGAACGACCAAGACCGAACACATTTATTATCAGATGTTTGCAATGGACCACTGTCATAGAGAGGACGTTTCATGTGGACTCTCCTGAAGAAAGGTGTGAGTGATACTTAAAATCTGTTGTAGTTCTCTTTGTAATTGTTTGCAAGTCTAATATTTGACAATGATTGTAAAACAAAATTTGATTGTAATTACTAGTGTTTATGTTCCATTTGCATTTTGCCGGATTAAAGGTAAAGCTTAATTTGCACATGACTGCAGACAGCTGAAATATGGGAACAAGATTAGGAGCTGGAGTAGGCCACTCAGCCTGTCAGCCCTACTCTACCATTTAATAAGATCATGGCTGATGTTTTCACTCTGTGTTCCTGCCAACGTCCTTGATGACCTTTCATACCCTTGCTTATTCAGAATCTACCTACCTCTGTCTTAAAAATATTCGAAGCCTCTGCTCCATTGCCTTTTAAAGAAGTGAGTTCCAAATACTAATGATTGTCTGTGAGAAAATGTTTATTTAATCTGGGTCTGGAAAAGGTTGCACTTTATGCTTAACTAGAGAGCAAAGAGTTTCAGAACAATATACATTATGAGGCATATGCAATTACAAATTAAATGTAGTACAGATACACAGAAATTATGAGTAAAAATGATCAGTTTGGCCCTTTGAGCCTGCTCTGCCATTCAAAATAATAATCACTGATCCTCTATCTCATTTGCTATATTCCTGCTTTCATTCCACACCTTGATTTTTTCTCCACTTCTTGATCTATCATTGATTACCTTTTTGGAGAGCCTTCATGTTGTATTTCAACAAATGGAGTGACTCAATTCTAAATATGCAAGGTGTTTGCAATAATCTATTCATTATGTAAGGTGAAAAGTACTATTTCTGTAAATTGTTTAGATCACATTTAAAACTGCCATATCTGTTGACAAGACCAGCCCCCATTGCGTTTATTGAATCTATTCTTGAAGCCTTCATTCATAGGAAATACTTGATCTTTTATCATTAGGTTTACAAAGGGAAGGTGATGGCCTAGTGGTACTATCGCTAGACTATTGATCCAGAGACCCAGAAAATGTTCTGGGGACCCAGGTTCAAATCCTGCCATGGCAGATGGTGGAATTGAATTTAAAAAAACATAAAATCTGGAATGAAATTAGAATCTACTGATGACCATGAAATTGTTGTCGATTGCCAGAAAAACCCATTTAGTTTACTAACCCCCTTCAGGGAAAGAAATCTGCCACCCTCACCTGGTCTGGCCTACATGTGACTCCAGACCCACAGTCATGTGTTTGACATTGTGGTTGGCCTCTGACATGGTCTAGCAACCCATTCAGTCGTACCAATCCCTATAAATTCTCAAAGAAATGAAACTGGATGGATCATCTGGCATTGACCTAGACACCAGAAAAGCCAATGGCAGAAACAGCCCTGTTGACACTGCAAAGTCCTCCTCACTAACATCTGGGGGCACCCCCCAAAATTGGAAGAACTGTCTCACAGACCAATGAAACAACAGCCTGACACAATCATACTCACAGAATCATACCTTACAGACAATGTCACACCACTGTCTCACTGGCAGGACAGATCAAGCAAAGGTGGCAGCACAGTGGTATAAAGTTAGGAGGGCATTGCCCTGGGAGTCCTCAACATTGACTCCAGACCTCATGAAGTCTCTTAGCTACAGGTTAAACATGGGCAAGGAAATTGCCTGCTGATTACTGTGTACCGATTATGCCCCATGATGAATCGGTACTCCTCCATGTTGAACAACATTTGGAGGAAACACTGAGGATGGCAAGAGCACAAAAGGTACTCTGGGTGGGGGATTTCAATGTTCACTACCAAGAATGGCTCGGCAGCCAAACTAATGATTGAGCTGGTCAGCTCCTAAAGGACATTGCCATAGACGCAGTCTAGCAGCTGCTGAAGGAACCAACAAGAGGGAGAAATATACATGACTTAATCCTTAGCAAACTGCCTGCTGCAGATGCATCTGTCCATGACAGTGTCAGTAAGAGCAACCACCGCATAGTCCTTGTGGAAACAAAATCCCGCCTTCACATAGAGAATAACCGCCGATGCACTGCGTGGCACTATCACCGTGCTAAAGGGGACAGACTTTGAACGTATCTAACAACATAGCTGGGCATCCATGAGGCGCTGTGGGCCATTAACAGCATCAGAGTTGTACTCCAGTACAATCTGTAACCTCATGGCCTGGCATATCCCCACTCAACCATTGCCATCAAGCCAGGGGATCAACTCTGATTCATTGGAGACTGCAGGAGTGCATGCCAGGACCAGCACCAGGCACACAAGAAGATGAGGTGTCAACCTGGTGAAACCACCAAACAGGACAACTTGCATGCCAAACAGCATAAGCAGCAAGTAATAGTTTGGCAGCGGGGTGGGAACTGGAGCTATGGATCAGAGGATGGGGTAGCTGGTGTACAGGCAGATACAGCATGCAGAGGGTCTGTGAGGAAGGATAGACAGTTGATAGGGCAAAGTTGCAGTCAGTGCGACAGGTTGAAATGTGTCCAGTTTAACGCAAGAAGTATCAGGAATGAGGGTGATGAACTTAGAGCATGGATCGGTACTTGGAGATACGATGTTGTGGCCATTACGGAGACTTGGATAACACAGGGGCAGGAATGGTTGTTGGATGTTCCGGGGTTTAAATGTTTCAAAAGAAATAGGGAGGGAGGGAGGTAAAAGAGGTGGGGGAGTGGTATTGCTAATCAGGGATGGTATCACAGTTGCAGAAAGGGAGGTTGTCGAGGAGGGTTTGTCTATTGAGTCAGTATGGGTGGAAGCTAGAAACAGGAAAGAGCAGTCACTTTATTGGGAGTTTTCTATAGGCCCCTCCAGGAGCAACAGAGACACAAAGGAACAGGTTGGGAGGCAGATTTTGGCAAGGTGCAGAAGTGATAGGGTTGTTGTCATGGGTGACTTCAACTTCCCTGATATAGACTGGAACCTCCTAAGTGCAAATAGTTTGGATGGAGCAGATTTTGTCGGATGTGTCCAGGAAGGATCTCTGACTCAATATATAGATAGGCCGACAAGAGGGGAGGCCATTTTGGATTTGGTGCTTGGCAACGAACCAGGCCAGGTGTCAGATCCCTTGGTGGGAGAGCATTTCGGTGATAGTGATCACAACTCCATGACCTTTATTATAGTCGTGGAGAGGGATAGGAGCAGACGGTATGTGGAAGTATTTAATTGGGGGAGGGGGAATTACAATGCTATTAGGCAAGAACTGCAAAGCATAAATTGGGAACAGATGTTCTCGGGGAATGCACGACAGAAATGTGGAGGTTGTTTAGGGAGCACTTGCTACAAGTACTGGATTGGTTTGCCACACTGAGGCAAGGAAAGGATGGTAAGGTGAAGGAACCTTGGATGTCAAGACATGTGGAGCACTTAGTCAAGAGGAAGAAGGAAGCTTAATAAAGGTTGCGGAAGCAAGGATCAGACAGGAGTCCAGAGGGCTACAAGGTATCCAGGAAGGAATTGAAGAATGGAGTTAGGAGAGCTAGAAGGGGGTATGAAAAAGCCTTGGCAGGTAGGATTAAGGAAAACCCCAAAGCGTTCTATACTTATGTGAGGAACAAGAAGATGGCCAGAGTGAGGGTAGGGCCGATCAGGGATAGTGGAGGGAACTTGTGCGCGGAGTCAGAGGAGGTAGGGGCGGTCCTTAATGAATACTTTGCTTCAGTATTCACCAGTGAGAGGGACCTTGACGTTTGTGAGGACAGCGTGAAACAGGCTGATATGCTTGAACAGGTTGATGTTAGGAACGAGGATGTGCTAGACATTTTGAAAAACACGACAATAGATAAATCCCCGGGCCAAACAGGATACACCCAAGGTTACTACGGGAAGCGAGGGAAGAGATTGCTGCCCCTTTGGCGATGATCTTTGCGTCCTCACTGTCCACTGGAGTAGTACCAGACGATTGGAGGGTGGCAAATGCTGTTCCCTTGTTCAAGAAAGGGAATAGGGATAAGCCTGGTAATTACAGACCTGTCAGTCTTACTTCTGTGGTGGGGCAAATTATTGGAGAGGATTCTGAGAGATAGTATTTATGATTATTTGGACAAGCACAGTTTGATTAGAAATAGTCAACATGGCTTTGTGAGGGGCAGGTCATGCCTCACAGGCCTTATTGAGTTCTTTGAGGATGTGACAAAACACATTGATGAAGGTCGAGCAGTGGATGTGGTGTATATGGATTTTAACAAGGCATTTGATAAGGTTCCCCATGGTAGCCTCATTCAGAAAGTAAGGAGGCATGGGATTCAGGGAAATTTGGCTGTCTGGATACAGAATTGGCTGTCCAATAGAAGATAGAGGGTGGTAGTAGATGGAAAGTATTCAGCCTGGAGCTCGGTGACCAGTAGTGTTCCACAGGGATCTGTTCTGGGTTCTCTGCTGTTTGTGATCTTTATAAATGACTTGGATGAGGAAGTGGAGGGGTGGGTTAATAAATTTGCCAATGACACGAAGGTTGGTGGAGTTGTGGATAGTGTGGAGGGCTGTTGTAGGTTGCAACAGGACATTGACAGGATGCAGAGCTGGACAAAGAAGTGGCAGATGGAATTCAACCCGGAAAAGCGTGAAGTGATTCATTTTGGAAGGTCAAATTTGAATGCAGAATACAGGGTTAATGGCAGGATTCTTGGCAGTGTGGAGGAACAGAGGAATCTTGGGGTCCGCATCCATAGATCCATAGATCCCTCAAAGTTGCTACCCAAGTTGATATGGTTGTTAAGAAGGCGTATGGTATGTTGGCTTTCATTGGCAGGGGAATTGAGGTTCAGAGCCACGAGGTTATGCTGCAGCTCTATACAACCTTGGTTAGACCACACTTGATATATTGTACAAAACCAAAGTTGTTGGAAAAGCCCAGCAGGTCTGGCAGCATCTGTGAAGGAAAAAACAGAGTTAACGTTTTGGGTCCAGTGACTAGATGCTGCTGGACCTGCTGGGTTTTTCCAGCAACTTTGGTTTTGTTCCTGATTTACAGCATCCGCAGTTCTTTCAGTTTTTACTTGGAATTTTATGTTCAGTTCTGGTCA